TAGATATATAATCCAAAAACATACACCATTATTCATAATTGCAGCATTATTTATAATATAAGTTGAAAACAACCCTAAATGTCCGCCAACAGATCAACAAATGTAGTATATCCATATGGCTGACTGGCTGTGTGCCGTGGAGTCGGTTCCAATTCATAGTGGCCCTAATATACAGGGTTTCCGAGGCTGTAAATCTTTACGGGAGCAGAGTGCCTCATCTTGATCCTGCGTAACAGCTGGTAGTTTTGAACTGCTGACCTTGCACTGCTACTCTACCAGAGCTCCCTATAATGGAGCATTATTCACCCCTAAAGAGAAGAAATTACTGATACATGGCATGACCTTGGAAATATTATTCTGAGTGAAGTAAGTCAGACACAAAAGGACAGGTATAGTATCATTTATATGAAATAATCTAAATTAGATGCATACAGTAGTAGTTATTAGGGATTCCTGTTGTGGTGTTGTAGGATCAGCACTGGACTGCAAACCACAAGGCCAGCAGTTTAAACCCAACAGCTGTTCCTCAGAAACCCTATACAGGATCGCTATGAGTCGGAATTGACTCAACGGCACTTAACAACAGAAACTGAGGGGGGTGGTGGTGGGAATTTATGGTGATAAGAATTTTTTTAGAAATACAAATGATAGTATCACAGCATTGTGGATGTAATTAATGTCATTTAGTTTTACACTTAAAAATAATTAAAATTTTGTTATATATATTTTAATAAAATAAATGGAAAGGAGCATTTTAATGACTTAAAAGCCAAGACAAAAACCAGTTGTAATTCTAGAGAAATGTTTTCTGATGTTGATCCTAAATTTGTTTCTGTAGTGATGAAGATTTCCAGAAGGAGCTGCTTTTCAGTCAAACCTTTTCTGTTTTGTTTTGCAGTTCTCAGAGAAACTGAGTCTGTCAGGCTATGAATTTCCCTTCTTCATTTTGCTGGCTATACTTTTCAATTAAAGATTGCAAGTGTATTCTTAGGGAAACTGTTGATTCTGCTTTAGGATATCCACATGGGTTTCCTTAAGATTTTAAACAGCTTTGTTGAAGTATAATTGACATACACCTATGAATGAATGTAAGTCAGAAAGTATTGCTATACAGCTGTGGACTCTAGACTCAGGGAAAAAGTGGGACTGAGTGCTGGCGGCCAGAAGGCAGGCTTATAGAATGTGTCCTTTGATTGTTAAATTATATATTCTTGAGAGTTTTTGTGTACATCTCCCCACCCCACCCCCCAAAAAATACAGAGGGAATGGAAGCAAATGCTGTTGAGTGATGATGCACGGAGGAGATTGTAATCATTGCAATGAAATGATGGTGTAAAGCTGATGTTCTCCCATATAAACTATCACTCAGTTCACAATTAAAAAAAAAAAGTATTGCTATAAAATTATAGAAACTACTAAACAAAAATATCAAACTGTGAAGCTTTCATGTCTTGATGTATCTTCCACCTAGACCAATACACTTCTGAAGACAATGTCTCCCTCTCTAGTAATTCCCAACAAATTCTATACTCTTCAATTTACACCATGTCAAAACAGTAGTTTTGGTATCCTTAAGGACTAAGATTATGTTCCTTTTCAATGTTCTTTTGAGTTTGGTGAACAATAAGAACTCTAAATGGGCAAGACCAGCGATATAGGATGTATGGGGTAAGGTTCTCAACAAGATTTTCAAGGACAGTCTCTGCTACCCTTGTGAATGCTCAGGTGCATTGTTTTGATGGGAAAAATTCCTTGGTGTACCTTTCTTGTTTTTTTCTCACCAGTGCAGTTTTCTGTTTTCTTAAAACATCTTCAAAGTCAGCCTCTGTGATCAGCCTGTGTTCTTTTAGAAAATCTTTCAAGGTGATTCCTTTGGAGTCCCAATAGATAGTTGCCACATCTTCTAAGCTTACCTCCCTGCCTTGAATTTAACTGGTCCAGCAAATCGGACCTCGCTTTCTGCATTGTACTTTTAATCCAGGATTTGTCTCTGGTTATGATTCATTCCATAAAATTGTCTTTATTATCTTCAGTTTTGCTTAAAAGACAGGTGGAAAGATCATCTCTTTAAACTAGCTGAGCATCAAGCAACTCTTTTGGCACTCATCAAGCTGTAAGTTTTCTCAGGCCAAGGTGTTTACTGAGATCCCAACTTCAATAGCTATCACATTGATAATAATTCTACTGGCTTCATCCATTCATCAAGGTTGATAATGTTCCCTTTCTTGACTCATTTTTCAGGTTTTCCTGGCCTTCTTAAATTGTTCAATCCATGTAAAAATTATTATGTGGGGCAGCATTCTTGTAAACTTCTTGCAAATCTGCAATGATATGGGAAGATGTTCACTTGAGTTTTGTTAAAAAGTTCATGTTTTCTCAAAATCACTTTTCTTTTTGTGACACAAGAAGTATACTTTGTTTTCTTTTTTTTTTTTAAAGTTCCTTAACGAGACTAAAGTATATTAATGAGAAAACTTGTCTGCAGCCATCTACTGATTGCAGAGACATGTTTAAGCATGGTTTGTATGGAATAAATCCACATATATAAGCTGGGACCCTAATAGTATTACTTTTTTACTTACCTTTGTACAGTACTTAAATTGTACAATTTGGTGGGTTTTGATACATTAGCATCTCTGAAGTCATCACCGCAGTCAAATATATGAACATGTTCATCACCCCTAACCAAACATATAATTTAGTGACATTAACTACATTCATAGTCTTGCACTGTTCATTTCCAAAACTTTTTCACGTCAGATTGAAACTCTACCCATTAAGCAGTACCTCTATCCCACTACCTCCTTCTCCCAAGCTCCAAACAGCTTCTGATCTACTTTCTATGAATTTGTATATTCTGGATACTTAACACATGTAAGTAGAATCATAAAGTACTTGTCCTTTTGTGTCTGGTCTATTTCATTTAGCATAGTGCTTTTGAAGTTTATTCATGTTGTAGCATGCATCAGAACTTCATTCATTTTGGGGTTGAATATTCCATTGTATAATTATAACACATTTTGCTTATCCATTCTTTTGTTGATGGACATGGGTCATTTCTATCATTTGGTTCTTGTGAATAATGCTTCTGGGACCATTGGTGTAACTTTTGGTTTTACAGTTTAATGTCCTACTTTGTCGAATTATATGTGAATACTCTCTACTTCAGTGTGTCTCCTTAGTAGCATTCCAGTTAGTATGTACTATTGTTGTTGTTATGTGCCGTGGAGTCGATTCTGACTCACAGTGACCCTGTACAGGATTTCCGAGGCTGTAAATCTTTACGGAAGCAGAAAGCCTCATCTTTCTCCCGTGGAACCGCTGATAGTTTCAAATTGCTGACCTTGCAGTTCGCTGCCTGATTCATAACCACTACACTACCAGAGCTCCTTAGTATATACTATTACTACTTCACTAATGAACTCCAGCTCCTTTACCACTGTTCCCATGACTATATACAGAGTGTAATTATAAATACCAGTAAAAATATTTTTGGTGTGTTGTCACTTGCACTGCTCAGTTAACTTCTTCAAGGGAGATGTTGTTGTTAAGTGCTGTTGAGTCGGTTCTGACCCATAGCGACCCTGTACAGGGTTTCTGAGGCTGTAGATCTTGATGGGAGCAGAAAGCCTCATCTTTCTCCCACAGAACAGCTGGTAGTTTTGAACTGCAAATCTTAAGGTTCTCAGCCCGATTCGTAACCACTACGCTACCAGAGCTCCTTGCAAGGGAGATATAGTACAGGTTTAATTTGTAATGATCCCATTTTGATAATACAGGCCTTTGCATGGTTAGGTCTGGTTTTAGTCTTTCTTCATTTAAAAAAAAAAATTATTACTAATATACCGTTTGATGGAATAACCATCTATTCTCTACAGTTTGGTCATTCTTTCAGAACAATAGCTGGCTGCCTTGAACTATTGTAGGACTTGAGTGTTTGTGACAGGTGTGGATTTTGATTGTGGATATGCTTTTCTGTGAGACTGTTTTTAGGATGCCACAGTTTGGGGACCTTTCTATCTACCCTATAATTGTGGTTACAGTGATTTCCGGTGTCTGCCTTTAATTTTACCATACTCTATAGAAGAGACATTTAGACAATATTTTACTCCACGATCCAGAGCTGATAAAGTTAGAATCAGAATTGGAGCTAAGGATATAGAAAGGAACGGAACCCATATAGAAAAAGAACAAGGACCATAACATTTCTAGGAAAGAGTTAAATCTTATATTACCTTTAAAGTTTTCTTTGTCTCTTGTATTTACCCTGCCCCTACTACAGGCATTGAGTGTCACTGGTGAATTAAAAGATGGTAAATTTAGAATGTGTAGGAGTAGGTGAAACTGTGTGTCAGCCCTGTGTGGGGGTACAAGTACATCCTAACTAGCCCTGGTTCTCGTTTGCCCAGGAATAATTATGTTTTTACTTTTTAAGAGAAAGTTCACTTATTGGATTGTAAATAAAATAAACCTACTGGAGTCTATTACAGTAAGTTTTGAAACCACCTAGAATCTGTAGAATCTTGAAAATAGATCCTCTCAAATGCTCAAATTCACCTTCATTTATAAACATAGAATGGTGTTTAAAACTTTCTCCACTGTTATCAATCTTTTTTTTTCTCATTGTTACCACTAAAGAGAGTTGCATTAAGTTAAAATTTCTTCCTGACAGAGCAACTCAAGAATAACTTATTCATGCAGAGTTTTTGGAAGTAGATCCCCTTCACAGACCTTCCAGATCTAGCCTACAAGCTGAAGCAACCCACAGCATATCTGCCAAGGACCTATATACTGTTGCTTACATTTATATCTTCAAACGGAATTGAGTGAGATATCTAGCAAAGGTTGATTTGATCCTTGAAGTTATTAGGGTGTAATTTTATTCTAGGACTGTCTGCAAGTGTGTAGAATTGAGGAGACTAATCAAATGTGGAGCTGGTTTTGCTTGGTGGAGTTCTATCTTTGAACATCTAACTTGGCAAGGATGTTTCTCATGACAGGTCTGGAGTTGGTGCACCCGTGATTGGTGAGATTGATGGGGAGTATCGACATGACAGTCGACGAAATACATTGGAGTGGTGCCTGCCAGTGATTGATGCCAAAAATAAGAGTGGCAGCTTGGAGTTCAGCATTGCCGGGCAGCCTAATGACTTCTTCCCTGTTCAAGTTTCCTTCATCTCCAAAAAAAATTACTGTAACATACAGGTACTTCATTTTAATAAAGAGCATATATGAGCAGATGGCAGAAAGGCAAAATGGTTTCGTGGTCAGAGCAGAAATCAGAAAATTCAAGTCCCCTGCAGATTCCATCTAATAACTCATTGTAGGATTTCACTCAAATCCCTTCCCTGCTTCAGTTTTTCTCTGTAGATTGGATAAAGATATTGAATGTGACTATGTGTAAAAGTTTGTGCAAGATTCTTTTATTGCCTATTTTTTTTAGCCTTATATATTTTGTACTACGTTTGCCAAAATATTCAACACATAATTTTGTAATGCTTTGCTGTCAGTTGGTTTTAACTAAGGATATTTATTTGAAGTCAGAATGACTGCCAACAGAAAAGGTTACATTCTAATACAAATGGGGATGATTTTTGGATTATTGATATCACAGCTTTCCCTCATTAGTACAGATAATCATGAGCCAATTCTGTTGTAAGCTATATCCTTTAAGTGGTCAAAGCACTGAAAAATGTGTAAACTATTCCTTTAGATCAGTTTTTAGTTCACTGTGGTCTTCCAGTTGTTGTTTAAATTATCTTGTTGTTTAGTGACATTGAGTCTATTCCTACTCATAGTGATCCTGTTTGGAATTTCTGAGGAGCAGATGGTGAGCTTGAACCACCAACCTTATGGTTTAAATTGACCTTGCAGTTCAGCGCATTAACCCACAGCACTACACCAGGACTCCAATTGTGTTATTAGGATCTAGTTTATTTTGTTCTCATTTCCCTCTTACTGATTTGCTTGTTTTTTTTGGCTCATTCTTCTAGATGGTCTCTGTCTCTCCTGTAAGTGATTAGGAAATTTAGCTTCCCCTGCCAGATGATTACAAAAAGCAGTTCTTTTTATCCCCGCTCAGTTATTGGTAAGGAGCTCTGGTAGCATACTGGTTATGAATTGGGCTGGGAACCACAAGGTCTGCAGTTCGAAACTACCAGCTGTTCCGTAGGAGAAAGATGAGGCTTTCTGCTCCCGAAAAGATGTACAACCTCAGAAACCCTGTACAGGGTCGCTATGAGTCGGAACCAACTCCATGGCACGTAGCAACAACAATAGTTATTGATATGTTGTTGCTGTTCAGTGCTGTCTAATCAGTTCAGATTCATAGTGACCCAGTATAGGGTTTCCGAGTCTGGAAATCTTTGCAGGAACAGAAAAACCTCATCTTTCTTTCACAGAGTGGCTAGTGGGCTCAAACCGATGACCTTGTGGTTGCAGTCTAGTGCTTATTTTACAGAGCCACTGTGTTCTCAAGTTACTAGCACAGATCCACAGTACTGGGCAGTCTCATTGTTGAACTCAAGGCATTAGGGAGAAATTGGTACATATCCTGTTTGGGACCATTCAAAGAGTGTTGTTAGTGCCGTTGAGTCAATTCTGATTCATAGCGACTGTTTAGGGTTTCTGAGGAGTGGCTGGTAGATTTGAACCACCAACCTTGTGATTGATTAGCAGTCCAGTGTTAGTCATTCAGTGCCACACTGTAAATGCTCTCTTGAAACCTTATTTAAAATAATGAATCAGTGGTTAAAGTAGTACATTGGTGTCAATGTAGTCGTGACTTAACTGTTAGTTTTAATCATTGAACTGGACATTTACTACAAAATAAAATGCGTCATTAGAAAAACCCAGCTACAACTAGGAAATGAGTATGATAGAACAACTTAGTTGGGCTTTAGACAGAAGAGATTTTAGAGTAAAGTAAACAACGATAAAGAATCAGAACATTCTATTTGGCTAAAAAGGTTAATTGAGCATCTTGTGAAATAAGTCTTTTAATTTTACAGATTTTATAGGACAGAGCTTGAGGTAAAGTCACTATACCTTTTACTTAATATTGTTGTATATCTCATCCCTCAGAAGTATATATTTTCAAATTTTGGTCCATTTAACAGTTGTCTATTATATTTAGAGAATATTGGTGGGGAAGATGATGCTGTGAGTTACAGTTGCAAATGAAAATTAATATTCTTATTAATATCTTACCCTCATATCTTACCTCTCTATCCCACTGGTAGCTAAGGACATGGGATTCTTAAGCCTAAAAGTTAAACTTGAATATTTGTTAGTATTTGAGTTGCTTGTAATACTGCTTCTAGAGAATTGTTTTAGTTCTTCAGTAAGAACTGAGCCCTGATGTAGCACTGTAAGATAAACACTAGACTGCTAACTGTGCTAACTTCAGGGTTGACAGTTCAAACCCACTATCTTCTCTTGAAAACCCATACGTAGTTAATACCACTCAATGGCACACAACAACAGCAACATAGTAAGAATTTAGCATTTTGGAGATTCAGTCTCCTCTGCTTTACCTTCTTCTTTGTTTTTCTAGGTTACCAAAGTGACCCAAGTGGATGGAAACAGCCCTGTAAGATTTTCCATGGAAACCACTTTCCTAGTGGATAAGTACGAAATCCTGTAATAACAGAGAACCGAAGGGAAATTTTTCAGATTAATAAAGAAGAAGCCAACAGTGGCTGAAGAGTTTTTTCCAAATCTACAAGCCATTGGAGACCCTTTTTTTCTGATACAATGCACGACTCTCTACGCGCAAGGACCCTCAACTCACCCCAGTGTTTCAGTGTCACGGAGACATTTTTTGGCAAAGCAATGACACAAACAAAGGGAAAGGCTGCTGATTTCTTTGGTAGATTTTACTGGCCAGCGGGATAGCAAGTTCTCTCAACAATGCCCCAGTTAAATACCTACTCTGCCTTTACCTAAGCTGTCCTTTATTTTAATCCCTAAATATATAGTTATATTTCCTACTTTGTTTTTTAAAAAGTTTTATTTTTTTCTGTGATTCTAACCTTTCATACATCTTTCTTTAATTTGTCAGTTTTTCGGTCAAGCAATGGAATAGTTTGTATATAAGCATTGCATTTATTTGGCATTCTAGGAACAAGTTGATCTAATCCATTCTTGATAGTTGGACTGACATGTGAACTTAAGGAAAAGGAGGCTCAGAAGTTAAAAGATAGGGATGTTTTATGTCCTTTTATCTCTTCACCTCTCCTTCCTCTTGAGCCTGTTACTCCAATTAGATCATCACTGTGACTCCCACTTATGACCAGGATTTAAAGACAACTGAGAAGCAGCTTTCAAAGGGTACAGCCCCTACTTGAAGATGTCTGGGAGGAGAATGGTTATGTCTGGTTAGGGATTTTTATATCCACAGATAATCATGTTTGCTGCTGGTGCTACCCAAGCATCCACTTCCCAATACTTTGGATATTTCAACTAGCTCACGGTCTTTGCAATGCATTTACATTCCTCAAAGTCCCTATCTCTGTCTTTCCAACTGCTCTATGTTATCTTTCCTGTTCATTCTAACAGAGACAAGGTCATGATTTTGGAGTATGTGGGTTCAGTGAGTTTTTTTTGCCAATACTATTGCTCATGAACTATTGAGTCTCTATTTTCACCACCAGGTTTTTAGCATTTTAAGAGGCAGCTGATTATACTGGTGTTTAGAGATTGTTCATATATATCCCATTTCCTTCCAGCCTGTCCCAAAATTTCACCAGCCTAATATGCCTGTCTCTGAAACCTGTTTCTGCCGTAGCTTTTTGTGTGTTAACATGCAGTGGTTATTTCTCAACGATATCTTACCCATTACTTTTCAGTGCAGAAGACTATATCCAACCAACCCACCATTGCACTCAGTAGGGGAGGTGAAGAATTGCGACCAAGCCGCAGCCCCTGGCAGTAGAAAGAGAAAGGACTGTAGAGGACCTCCTGCACTTTGAGCTGGTTGGAGTTGACTCATTCTATACAATATCTGCCTTTTCCTGCAAAGAGTAGTGTACTTAACACAAAGCAGTAACACCACACTAATGGCCATGGATGGAATTATTTGCCAAAGAAATTTCTAGTCTTTCCCTTTGCCCTAAATGTATCAGGAAAGAATTCTTCTGTCTAGCTTGGTTTCCACATGAGGTTCTTTGAGGAAGGGTACTGGGACAAGAAATCTGTCATGTAGTTAAGTAGGCAAGAAATCGTATTAATCCAGTTTTGTTTGAGAGTTGCTTGTCCATATGATTTTTAAAAAGTCAAGTTTAGTTTCACAAGAAGTTCTTTTTCTGAAATTACTTTTGGGGTAATATTTAAAATGAGAGACATTTTGTAACCCTGTAAAATACATAGGGAATATAACATTCCAGTGTACACAAAGAAGGTAAATTCTTTAATCAAATAAAGAGTATTATAAAATGAGATGTTTTTAGACTCTTGACTCTCACACCTTGGTGTCTGTCTGCTGATTCAGGATAATGTAATGGGATCTCAGATTAAAAATTAACACTGTTTTTTTTTTTAAAGAGAAAACTAATCTCTCTACAAAGTATTTATTGCCTCTTCTCTATAGGTGTTACACTTCCTGTGTATTTTTCTATATTTGAGTTTCTGATGGCATGGATTCGGAATTTCGGTGTAGTGGAGTCTTAATTTTTGTCAGGGGTAGTTAAGCAGCATAAAAAACGGGGCTTCATCTTTAAAGACTTAACAGTTGTAGGTGATATTTTGATGTCTTCTCTTTCTCACTGTTGTTAAATGCCACCAAGTCTGTTCTAACTCAGAGACCTTGTATAGGGTTTCCAAGGCTTAATTTAAATCTTCAAGTGCGCAGAAAACATCATGTTCCTCCCATGGAACGGCTGATGGGCTCAAACTGCTGACCAGTGGTTTGCAGTCCAGTGCTTATCGTATGGAGTTACCGTACTCCTTTCTTTCCCACTAGACAGCAGCAGAAAGTGAGTGAACCAGGAGTCATTGAGGAATTACCTTAGAAATTGTGAGAATTCTCTCAGAAAAGGCCCTTCTTTCGCTTTTTAAAAATGCCTCCTTTTTTAACTTGGAAAAACTTTATTGAATGTTAAATTGTTTGGAAGGCAAATTACTCACCTTAATAATAAGTTGAAGTTTTTAAAAAATTTTAATGGTGAGAGCAAAGATTTTTATTTCCTTAAGAGAGAGAACATATCAGGTCTAACGTGGCTGAAGCATGCTTCAGCTCTCAGACTGTATAACCTTAATCCAACCAAAGGTAGCCCACCAGAACCACCATGCCACACCTCTTCCACTTCATCAGGTGAATTTTTCTTGATCTTTCCTGAGGAGGACTCACACAATAGCTAGATCTGAGTATTTTGTTTAATGTAGGAAGCATGCAGATTAGTTATACATAGAGGAGGGAGGGAACAATGTTTTTTACACAGGAATTTTTTTTTTTTTAACTTTTTTGTTCTTTGCATTCCTTCATTCCTTATTTTAATCTGTCATTGATTATCCAAAATAGTTTAAAACCCCAAATCTACCAACCCATTGAATCTCTGACAGAGGAAAAGAGTAGTGCCATGATTAAGTGCTCAGCTACTAATGAAGAGGTCAGCAGTTCATGCCCTCCAATTAACTTCAAATTTTTACATTGGGTAAATAGGATCTGAAAGATTTCCAGCAAGATACAGCATCAACTTTTATGAATGTTCAAATCTGGCAGGGCTCATTGGCAGACAATAGAAAAGAATTTTAAGTCCCTGTCCTCGAGAAGATTAAAGTCTAGCGACAAGCAATGACTACCTGCTTGTGAAGTCTTTTTCAACTGTAGATTATGACAGAGTGGTTAACATTGTGAAAAATGGGTATTCCAGAACACGTAAATTGTTCTCATTAGGACCCTGTACACAGACCAAGAGGCAGTTTTTAGAACAGAACAAGGGGATACTGAATAGTATGAAATCAGGAAAGGTGTATCCTTTTACCATACTTAGTCTATGCTGAGCAAATAATCTGAGAAGCTGGGTTATATGAAGAAGAACAGGGCATCAGGATTGGAGGAAAACTCTTCACAACCTACCATATGCAGAAGATAGAACCTTGCTGAAAGCGAAGAAGACAAAATACACCTCAACGTAAAGAAAACAAAAATGCTTAACTAGATCAATACCACGATAGAAAAAGGACAAGTTGTTACAGACTTCATTTTGCTTGTGTTCGCAACACTCATGGAAGCAGCCGTCAAGAAATCAAAGGACGTATTGCATTAGGCAAGTCTGTTACACTAGACCTCAAAGTTGAAGAGCAAAGATGTTAGGACTAAGGTGCTCCTGACCCAAGCCATGGTATTTTCAATAGGCTTATAGGAAAGTTGAACAGTGAGTAAGGAAGGCTGTATAAAAATCAGTGCATTTGAACTATGGTATTGGAGAATAAATCTGTGTTGAAAGTAGAGCCAGAATGCCCCTTAGAAGACAGAATGTTAAGATGTAGTGTCTTATACTTTGGACATGTTATCAGGAGGGACAAGTCCCTAAAGAATGGCATTGTTGGTAAAGTGCAGGGTCCACGAAAAAGAGGAAGACTTCCACTGAGATGATGGACAGGGTAATGGAGTCAAATGTAACAATGCTGAGGATGGCAGTGGCATAGAACTAGGCTGTGTTTTGTTCTGTTGTGCACAGGATCGCTATGAGTGAGCTGAATCAACGGCACCTAATGATAGCAAGCTAGCCCAGTAATAACTACAACCAATGATACTTTTTTTTTTTTTTTTCCAGTGTTTTATTGTGAATTATGTGATCGTTTACATGGGAGAGCATTAGTTTTACATTCATCGTATGTTTCATTGTCATGGTTACAATCTCCTCCATGCATCATCAACCAACCAAAGGGTATACCCTACAAGCCTGCCCCCGGTCTTCAGCACACAGCTCCTTTCCCTCTCTGGGTCTGAAGTCCCCAGCTGCTCCATCTTTCCACGTCATCGTCTCTGCCTCCATCTCTGGCTCCACTGCTTCTCTGGGTAGGGTCCCACTCTCCACTCTTCTCCCTTCATGTGTTCCAGGGACCTCCACTCCTAGATTGCAAAGTTAATCACTCCCCTCCTTGCTATAAAACGTCTACCTTTACATTTCCAACCCTCACAATCAGTCCTGATAACAAGTATTCACTATTGTATCACAAGAGACCTAGCTGCATTTCCTTTCATCAGACGGGCCTAGACAGATTGGATACTATTCAGTGGAGATTCTGCCTTCCTCCATGCCCTCTGTATCTAGGTTCCCTCTTGAAAGTTTGTAAGCCGGTCACTTCTTGCCTTTGTAGGCCCCCCTCCCCCATTTTGGGTAGCCAATGTCCAAGTTGCCCATCCCTGTCTACTCTGTGTATGGAGGGGTGGGAACGATCCTTGCTGTAAAGATTTGTTCCCTCTTTTGAGCTACTGCATCCATAGGTGTAGGTCAAGTTCATCAAATTGTACCGGATTACTCTTTTTTTTTTTTTCCTCTTTCTTCTGATTGATCATCCAGTCATTGAAGCCAGGTCAAGTGAGTATTATCTGCAAATGTGTGTGTTCTTATGCGCATGCCCTCTCTTATCAGCTGGATGCTTCACTGTCCACTCTCGTCCTCTGTGGCTGTGTCACTGACTCTAGGCCGAAGAGTCTCCAGGCCTTGCCACACTGCTGGTCAACCAGGTCTCCACCTGGGTTCACAGGAGTCTATTGAATGTTGTAGGGCTTAGCTCACAGCTTCATTGCTATTTTTCCCTCACTTCCCCTTATCGGTAACGAATGTGGTCACCAATCAGAGTGTGTATTCCCATTGAGTTTTAGTCTTGGAAGAGGGTTTGCCCTGAGGGGACCCGACCACTTGCCTTGATGTCTCCTGGTCGAACAACTTGCTTGTTCTTGTAATCAGCAACCAATGATACTTAAAATGGGTTTCAGTGGGAGTGAAGGGCTTCTG